CTTCTTTCGCACAATCCGACATTACCATAGTTCAGAAAGTAACCACTATGAAGAGTACCAGTTTGGCGTGGGTGCAGTGGCTCACCACCTGTGAATCCCAGCACACTTTGGGAGGGCTAGGCCGGCCGGATCACCTGAGGCCACTGAGGTCAGGAGTTTCCAGACCAGGACTGTGGCCAACCATCGCAAAACCCACATCTCTATTAAATACTACAAAAATTAGTTGTGGCATGGGTGTTTATCACTTGTAGTTCTGGCTTCTATAGGAGGCTGAGCAGGGAGAATCGCTTGAATCCAGGAGCGGAGGTGGTCAGGTGAGCCGAGTATTTGCCACTGGTGGACTCCAGCTGGATGACAGAGTCAGACTGTCTCAAAAAAAAAAAGAAAAAAAAAAAGCTAGGCACGGTGGCTCGACACCTGTTAATCCTAGCACTTTGAGGAGGCTTAAAGCAGTTGATCAGTTGGGTGCAGGAGTTCGAAGACCAGCCTGACCAAGCATTGGGTGAAACCCCCGTCTCGCTACTACAACTACAAAAATAGCCGGGCATATTAGGCGGATGCCGTAATCTCAGCTACTGTCGGAGGCTGAGGCAGGAGGAATTGTTTGAATCCCCTGGAGGCGGGAGGTTGCAGTGGAGTGAGACCGGCACCACGCCACTCCAGCCTGGGCAACAAGAGTGAAACTCCATCTAAGAAAGAAAGGAAAGGTTGAAGGGAAGGAAGGAAGGTAAGCGGAGGGAGGAGAGGGGGGACCGAGTTTGACATGTATCCTTTCAGATCTTTCCTGTTGCAAATATATGTGTGAATGAAATCGTCGAATGCCCTGAGTGTGTTCCCACCCTCATTCCTGGGATTGGCTTTTGCAAGGTAAGAGAGGAAACATGCTGAATTTCTACAAGGAAGAGTGGGAGGGTGAGGGGGTGGGGCTCCAGGCCTGTAATCCCAGCATTTTTGGGAGGGCCGAGCCAGGTAGATTACCTGAGGCAGGAGTTCGGAACCCACGGCCGTGCCCAAACAGTTGAAACCGTCGTCTGACGTGAAAAAATCGCAAAAAATTAAGCTTGGGTGTGGTGGGCAGGTGTCGTGTAATCCCAGCTACTTGGCGAGCTGAGGCAGGAGAATTGCTCGAACCTGGGAGACAGAGGTTGCAGTGAACCGAGATCGCGCCACTGCACTCCAGCCTGGGTGACAGAGCAAGACTCTGTCTCAAAACAAATACACAAATAAATTAATTTAATTTAATAAATACAAGAAGAGTGGTGTCTTCTCACTTCCTCAAGTCTTTCTGTAGCTACAGGTGGGCCATCCAGATGGCTCTGTGTTGGGTATTTCTCATATCCAGTAGGCCCAGGACCTCTGAGCCTAGGAGGTGAAACACACAACCCACGCCCACTGTGCGCAGGGAATTTGGGCAGTTAACACTTTGGAAACCAGAGCTTTCCTATGGTGCCTACGGCCAGTGCAGCTCTTCAGCCCCGCCCTGAGCCGATGGGAGGATTATACCTGTCTTGTTGCAGTTGGGAACAGCCACGTGACTGTGACTGTAAGAGCCGGGGCTCTATCACCATGGTGAGGTAGAAACACCATAACACCATGAGTCTGTCTTGTCTTTTTTTTTTTGTGACAGCTTTATTGCTGTTATAATTGCTGATATAATTCACACACTCTTTTTTTTTTTTTTCTTTTTGAAATGGAGTCTCTCTGTCACCCAGGCTGGAGTGCAGTGGTGTGACCTTCCGAGTAGCTGGGATTTCAGGCACACGCCACCACACCTGGCTAATTTTCGTATTTTTAGTAGAGATGGAGTTTCACCATGTTGTCGCCAGGAGTTCGAGATCAGCCTGGCCTCAAGTGATCCGCCCGCCTTGGCCCCTCAAAGTGCTGGGATTATAGGCATAAGCCACCACCTGGCCTACTGCATTTTAATTATGCATTCCTCAGTCGTTTAGATTGTTTTCACGTTTTGCCTATTATGAATAATATTCCTATGAACATTCGTGTGTAAGTTTTTGTGTGGACATGTGTTTTCATTTCTGCTAGGATTTGAATTGCTGGGTTATATGGTAACTTCATGTTTAATTTTTTTAAGAATTGCCAAACTGCTTGCCATTCCCACCAGCAGTGTATGAGAGTTCTAGTTTCACTACATCCTTGCCAACACTTGCTATTATCTGAGATTTTGATTATAGTCATGCTAGTGGGTAGTGGGTGTGTTTTGATTTGCTTTCTTTGGTCACCCACGCTGGAGTGCAGTGGTGCAGTCATAGCTCACTGCAGCCTCCAGCTCCTGGGCTCAAGCAATCCTCCCACCTCAGCCTGTCCAGTAGCTGGGACTACAGGCACACACCACTGAACCTGGCTAGTTTTTCTATTTTTTTGTAGAGATGAGGGTCTTGTTATGTTGCTTTTGCTGATCTGGAGCGCTTGGGCTCAAACAATCATCCCACCTCGGCCTCCCAAAGTGCTAGGATCACAGGCATGAGCCACAGTGCCTGGCCTTGCATTTTCTTAGTGGCTAATGACGTTGAGCACCTTTTCATGTCCTTATTGGTCATTTGTATATCTTTGGAGAAATATCTATTCCAATCTTTGGCCCATTTTTAAATTGGGGTATTTATCTTTTTATTATTGAGTTGTAACAGTTCTTTATATATTCTAGCTGCAAATCCCTTATCAGATATGATTTGCAATTTTTTTTTTTTCCCCATTCTCTGGTTGTCTTTTCACTTTCTTTTTTGTTTGTGGTTGGTTTTTGTTTTTTGAGACAAGGTCTTACTTTGTCCCTCAGGCTAGAGTGTAGAGGCGGGATCTTGGCTCACTGCAACCTCTGCCTCCCAGGTCCAAGCGTCCTTCCCACCTCAGCCTCCTGAGTAGCTGGGACCATAGAGGCAAGCCACCACATCCGACTAATTTTTGTATTTTTTATAAAGATGATTCTTCACTATTCTGCCCAGGCTGGTCTCGAATTCCTGAGCTCCAGCAATCCGCCCGCCTCAGCCTCCCAAAGTACTGTGATTACTGGCATGAGCCACTGCGCCTGGCCTTTTTCATTTATTTATTTAATTTTTAGAGACAGGGTCTCACTCTGTGGCCCAGACTGAAGTACAGTGGCATGATCATAGCTCACTGCAGTTTCAAACTATTGGGCCCAAGGGATCCTCCTGCCTCAGCCTCCTGAGTATCTGGGACTACAGGCACACACCGCCACACCTGGGTTTTTGTTTTTGTTTTTTTTTAGTGTTTTATTTTAAAGACAGGGGTCTCGCTATGTTGCTGAGGCTGGTTTTGAACTCCTGACCCCATTGATCCTCCTGCCTTGGCCTCCCAAAGCTCTGACATTACATGTGTGAGCCACCTTGCCCGGCTTTGAGTAATTTTATTTTACCGCAGTAGACATCTCCTTGAAGGCAAGCGTTTCCCCCAATTCTTAGCACCGTATTTGGCACACAATAGGAGCTTAATAAATATTTGCCATAAGAATGAATGCTCAGAAACTCCACTATCTGCTCAACAACTCCCTGGAAAAGAGAGATTTTTTTTTTTTTATGGTTACTATAAAAGGCCCAGATTAGTATTTCATTGGCCTAACTTGCATCACGTGCTCATCCCTGAACCAATAAATGGGGCAGAAGGGATGAAATATGCTAATTGGCCAGCTCTGGCCGCGTGTCCATTTTTGGAGCCAGGGGAGTGGGGAGGGCTATTTTCCTGAATTGAGAATAGGGTGAACTGGTTCCCTGAAGACTAACCAAGACGCTAATGCAAAGCAGGACACTCCTGCTGGGCAGGCAAAAATGACAGAGGCTCAGAGAAGTAAAATAACTTGCCCAAGGGCCATAGAGCTTTAAGCAGTAGCATCTTTTTTTTTTTTTTTTTTCAATCTTGCTTTGGGCTTGGACAGACTAGTTCAGCATCTTTGATCTTCCCTTCCTGCCTGACCGCCCCAGGATCAGAATTCTAGGTGCAATTTTGTCTTTTGCCAAAAGCTGGAGTTTACTCTCTTGGGGGTTTATAAATAAGGAAAAAAGTTCTTTGAAGAGCCTGAACTTTGAAATCAGAGAAGTCTGGATTTTAGTGCTGGCTCTGCCTTTTCTAACTGCCTCACCTGGCGCATGTTATTATCTCTTTAAGTCTCAGTTTTGTTCTTATTATTTTTGTTTGTTTGTTTTTGTTTTTTTGCGACGGAGTCTCACTCTTTCACGCAGGCTGGAGTACAACGGCACGATCTCGGCTCACTGCAACTTCTGCCTCCAGGGTTCAAGCGATTCTCGTGCCTCAGCCTCCAGAGTAGCTGGGACTACAGGCGCGCCCGGCTACTTTTTTGTATTTTTAGTAAAGACGGGGTTTCACCACGTTGGCCAAGCTGGTCTCGAACTCCTGACCTCAAGAGATCTGTCGGCCCTGGCCTCCCAAAGTGCTGGGAAGATGGAATTAGGAAAAATCCCTCAATAAATGTCACTCACTGTTACTACTTTTATATCTAGAATGTGTGGAATTTCTAAAATTTCACTAACGAAGTATCTAGAAGGACCTAATATCAAAGTGTTCACAGCAGTTATTAGTTTTAATTCGTTTTCTTCTTTATACCGTATCCACTCTACCACTCATGCCACAGGTATTAAGCATCTGTGTGCCACCCAGGCCCTGTGTCAAGAGTTAGGAATAACTAGAGGAGATACTAATTTTAAAACTACACAAATAATTGCAATCGTCATACATGCCTGTTTTTACAAAGCAGAAATCAGGAAAAATAAAGTATTTCCGATAAAACATATTTTAAGGTTATGTACAGAGATGTATACAAACAAGCGATGGGCTTGGATCACTAGTGATTTTGGAAAGGACAGGAATACAGGAACTAAGCGAGGAGCTGGCGAGAGAGGCGGGAGAGGACGGAAGTTGGGCACTCCCTTGAATTGCTCCCTCGCTGCCGGATGCTAGGCCAGCCTTGAGCAGGAGAACCAGACACTGTGTACTCAGCAGGGGGAGTCAGGACTTAGCGCTAACCATTGCACCTGGGGCTAGGAGCCAGCGCCGGAGCCAGGAGGCCCGCTCGGCGGCTGCAGACGCTGTGACGGCCACCTGGGGGCGGCCACGTGAGCGCCACGCCGTGCGCCCGCCAGTCCAGCCCCGCCCCTGCCCGCCTGCTTCTGCTCAACCTAGCCCAGCCCTAGCTCCAGCCCCAGCTCCCCTCCTGCCCGGATCGAGCGACCGCACTCCCGGCCCTGCAGCCACCCGAGTCCCGCTCGCTGTAGCCTGCACGCGAGTCCCTGGCACGCGCCTCTCGCATCCCGGGATCGTCCTAGCGGCCCCCGCGCCCTTCCTGGGATCACTCCGGCGGCCCCGAGCCCCGGGATCGGTCCATCTGCCCCGCGTGGCCCCAGCTGCGTGCCCGGAGCGCCAGCCAGCGCGCCCCGCTCTCCGCTCCCCGGCACTCTCGGGGGGCCCGCCCGCCCTGCACCCTGGAGCTCCGGGCCGCGAGCCTCTGCCAACTCCTCTGGATCCTTGCGGCCGTGAGCAGCGGCTGCCGCGCCTGTCTGCCAGAGGGAGGTAGGTGTGGACGGCGGCCGCCAAGGCTGTGGGGGGCTGGGAGCCGGCGCTACAGGCGTCTGGAGCGTGCTGGGTCTGGGCTTGGGAATGGGGCCGGAGAAGGCATGGAAGGAGAGTGTGGGGGCACTTCTCCTCTGGTTGTTAAACTCTCTGGGGCTCAGTGCTTGCTTTGGTGAAATGGGGAAGTTGTGCGGATTAACGGCGATGTGGATATGGAAAGCAATTGGCAAGCAATGGGCGGTGATCTGGCTGCAAGTGACAGATAGTTTGGGGGCCTCTGCCGGAGACGCCCTCGGGGCCCCTAGGAGGGTGGGCGTATCGCTGCCTTCCTGTCCCCTGCAGGGCTCAGAGCCGCATCCCCCACCCTTTCCCCTGACCTAGAGGCCTGCGTCAGCCCGAATTCCCGGAACCTCCAGGACTGTGTAGACGCGCCCTTGCAGCATTGTTGGCTGCCGGAGTTCGCTTGTTGGCAGGCGCCTCTGACTTGTGCGCCAAGGGGCTGAGCATTAATAAGCCGGTGGCCGCGCAGGGGTGGGGGCCTCCTGGGTAAGCCCCGGCCTAGATCCTAGATCCCCCGGCCTGGGGGATTTCGGGGAAACAGCCCAGCTGCTCCCTGTGACAGATGGGCCGCATGGGGAAGTGAGATCTGCTCAGAGGGACGGTCCTAGGGAGCCCGACCTCTGGGACCTCGGTGGTGGGCGCTTCTTCAGCCAGGAAAGCAGGAAACACTAGGGCTGGAGTCCTGGGTTGGAATTCTAGCTCATTTCTGCTCTCTGGCCCTCGGTTTTCTCATCGGTAAAATGGGTACAGTATTAGTATCTACCACTTGGTGTCCTTGGAAAAAGTAAATGAGTATGTATATGTCAGGTGCTTGAAACAGTGCCTGGCACACAGTGTGATAGTCTGTGTCCCCGGGAGACATCTGATGGCCGAGGGCCCTGTGGTTGAGGCCCTGGACAGGCTGTGAAGTCGCAGGGAATTGAGTCACCTAGTCTATCCTAATGTTTTTACCGAGGAGGAAACCGAGGGTCAGAGTGATCCCCAGGCCCACAGAAGCTCCCTCAGAGGAAACCAGTCACATAAACAGATTCTAAAAAGCGAGATGGAGTAAATGGGAATACAGAGCAAACAGGTGGGAGCTGAGAATACCCACTGTGTGTGTAAAGGGGAGAGGGTGATGTTTAAGCTGAGCTGGGAAGAGGCAGGTGGAAGGAAGGTAGAGTTCAGAGATGGCGTATGCAGGTGTCTTCCTTCTCTGTGGCCTCCACAGCACCCGATGTTCATTCCTTTGTTCAGCTATTAATTCAACAAATACAGTAAAACCTCTCAACGACATGAATTTCAGTGTAACATGTCTGGGACTGGCGTCCGCCCTCCTCTGAGCCCCGTTTCTCAAAGAAGTGGGTGCGGTCCGAAGTTCTTACCCTCTGCAGGGAATGGGGAGGCCAGAAGTCAGAACTGAGATGATCACAGTTTACACATACTGGTGTACATTTTAAGAGCTACCGGTTTTTTGGGCGAGGGGCGCGGTGGCTCAGGCCTGTAATCTCAGTACTTTGGGAGACTGAGGCGGGTGGATCACTTGAGGTCAGGAGTTTGAGACCAGCCTGGCCAACATAGGGAGCCACCATTTCTATTAAAAATACAAAAATTAGCTGGGCGTGTAGGCATGAGCCTGTAATCCCAGCTACTCGGGAGGCTGAGGCAGGAGAATGGCATAAACCCGGGAGGCGGAGCTTGCAGTGAGCTGAGATCTGGCCACTGCACTCCAGTCTCAAAAAAAAAAAAAAAAAATTCACCATTTTTTTTCTTGTGCTTTTTGTAACTGTACAGTACTTTTTGGCTGATTAAGGATATATCACTGGCTGGGTGCGGTGGCTCCTGCCTGTAATCCCAGCCACTCTGGGAGGCCGAAGCCAGAGGATTGCTTGAGCCCAGAAGTTCAAGACCAGCCTGGCTGACAGGGTGAAACCCGGTCTCTATTTAAAATTTAAAAAAAAAATCGCTGATTTGCTTTTAAAACATTTTACTGTATTATGTGGCAGAGAAAGCTATGGGTCACCAGTATCCATGTTCTCATCCTCCTGGGGCGCTCCCTGGATGAATTTTCCCAGGCTCCCTTACCATTCAGTAGGGCCACAAGGCTGAGTTTTCGCTGATGAAACGTGTGTCCATTTCAAGCCTCGACCCTAAAAACCTCTCACTCTTTCCTCATTTGTTGAACAAGTCAAGGGGACTTTGAAGGCCTAGAGGAGGGCAGAGCCTCAAGCCAGAAGGAGCATTTTTTGTTTTTTGTTTTTGAGATGGAATCTTGCTTTGTCACCCAGGCTGGAGTGCAGTAGTGCGATCTCAGCTCACTACAACCTCTGCCTCCCAGGTTCAGGTGATTCTCCTGCCTCAGCCTCCTGAGTCTGAGCTGGGACTACAGGTGCATGCCACCATGCCCAGCTGATTTTTGTATTTTTAGTAGAGACGGGATTTCACTGTGTTGGCCAGGCTGGTCTCAAACTCCTGACCTCACGTGATCCACCCGCCTCTTTCTAGTGCTGGGATTACAGGCGTGAGCCACCACGCCCACCCGGGAAGCCCGGGAAGGGTGTCTTTAGGGTTGTTATCTTGTGTGGGAAAGTCCCCAAAGCAGTCTCGTTCCGTCTTTGGTGGGGTTGGTGTCTGGTTGCCGGGACTCTGGGAGCTGTGCAAAGAAAGCCAAGGGTGAACAGCAGAAGCTTGGACTTGTTCAAGCTCATTCTCCAGGATTCACTATTTCTGGTCCAGTTCTTACACCTGAAGCAGAACAACTGAATGATCAGGGCCATAGCCAAAGTAATAGCAGCTGGTTGAACTAATTTAAAAGAATCAAAGTGTTTTTTGTTGAGGAAGATTGGGTCTGCTGACCTAAAAGCTGCAGGTCATTACCCCAATGAACTGAGAAGGCTCCTAGAAGGTGGTTAGAGTGATGACCTTGTCTACACCTGGGATGAAGGCGGCCTGGGCCTTAAAGTGTTGCTGGATTAAATGCTTGCAGCCAAGGCTGATGAGCACAAGCAAGGAGGCTTCTTTTTTGTTGTTGTTTTGAGACAGGGTCTTGCTCTGTCACACAGGCTGGGGTGCAGTGGCACGGTCACAGCTCACTGCAGCCTGGAATTCCTTGGCTCAAGTGATCGTCCTGCCTCAGCCTCCCAAGTAGCTGGGACTACAGACATGAGCTACCACCATGCCTGGCTAACTTTTAATTTTAGTGTAGAGATGGGGTCTCACTCTGTTGCCCAAGCTGGGCTTGAACTCTGGGCTCAAGCAATTCTTCTGCCTCAGCCTCCCAAAGTGTTAGGATCACAGGCATGAGCCATGCCCAAATGTAAGAAGGCTTCACACAAAGGAAGGAATGAGTCACTAACATGCTGATGATAAAGCAGAAGATAACAGTCCCCCCCACAACCCCCAAAGTCCCAGGGCTGTGGGACTCCAAGAGAAGCGTTTCAAATGGCTGCAGAGTCAGAGGGTGGATGGCGTTCTGTTCTCCAGCTGTGAAGCTTTCGAGATCTAGCAAGGACTAGCAAGCCAGAGGAAGCACCCGGAAGTAGGTGGCTAAACTGAAGAAAATTGCCCTAGGCCAGTGTTCCTCTAACTTCAGTGCATACCAGCATCCCCAGGAGGACTTGCTTACACTTTGATTGCTGGACCCATCCCCAGAGTTTAATTTAGTAGGTCTGTAGTGAGGCTTGAGAATTTGCATTTCCAGCAAGTTGCCAGGTGAGGCTGCTGCAGTGGCTGCTGCGGCAGCTGGTCCCATACTTTTAGAAGCACTGGTTAAGGAAGTGATGACTGCGTTGAAAGTCCTGGATTCAGCCCACACCAGCTTCAAACCCAACTCTAGTCATATGATTTGCGGTAATTCACATAACCTCTCTGTTCCTTAGTTTTCTCATCTGTAGAGTGAAGCTAAGAGCAACTACCTCCTGGGGTTCAGGGGAGGCTTCCTGGAGGAGATGGCATCTAAGCTGAGACCTGAGGGATGAGCAGACAAGTTGGCCAGGGGATGGATAGGGAGGACAGGCTGGGGTGTGTACCAGACAGAAGCCATAGCATTTTCAGAGCCCAAGGAGGAAGGAGCACATGCCTTCTAGGGAGCTGAGAGGAGTTACATAGCAAGTGCTTTGTAAGTGATACTGAAATGCTACCAATCTGTTCTGGGCAGGATTGCAGTGGAGAGGAAGCCAACCAGGGTATGGAATATGGGTTGCTGGATGGGCTGAGACATAGTATAAGTTATTTGTGCTCTTTTTCACTGGCCAGAATGCAGTCACATGACCTTACCTAGCTACAAGGGATGCTGGGAAACGTAGTCCCTGGCCTGGCAGGGGAGAAAGGATTCCTGGAGGAAAGCCAGCTCTCTGTGCCACTGTGGTTTTCAGGTCCCCTCTCTCACTTCTTCTCCACCTTGCTCACTTTGCTCTGCTCTGTTGGGTGAATGAATTTTACAGATGAAGAAGCTGAGGTTCAGAGAGGTTAAGTAATTTCCCCAGCATTCCTCAGCTGATTGTGACAGGGCCAGGAATTGAATTCATCCCAAAGGCCTTGTTTGGCTAGATCTGGTTTTGGTGCTTTTCAGATCCTTCATGAGCCAGTCTTTCCCACTACAGCCTCAGCCATGTCATTGGACTAAGTAACCCCTATGTGGTTACAACACAGTTTTTTTGTTTTTTTGTTTTTTTGTTTTTTTGCGGAGGTCTGGGGGCAGGGGGATAGAGTCTTGCCCTGCTGCCCAGGCTAGAGTGCAGTGACACAGTCTTGGCTCACTGCAACCTCTGCCTCCTTGGTTCAAGTGATTCTCGAGCTTCAGCCTCCCAAGTAGCTGGGACTATACAGGTCGTGCGCCACCACGCCTGGCTAAATTTTTTAACTTTTGGTAAAGATGGGGTTTCGCTATGTTGCTCAGGCTGGTCTTGAACTCCTCGCCTCAAGCGATCTACCTGCCTCGGCCTCCCAAAGTGCTGGGATTA